GCCCAACACTTCTCTTTTATTGTCTAAAAAATGAGATTTTACTTTAGTTGATTTTCTTTAGTGTATGTTTGCTTTCTTTTTAATGTATCTTTGCTCTTCATTTTTTTCCTTCTACTTTTCTTTGGCTTTACCCTGATATTCCTATTCCAGAATTGTAAGACCAGTTTTTAGCCCATTATTTTCATTTATCTACTTTTCTGTTATTAGTATCTAAGATTATAAATGTTCCCCTATATCTTACATATTTTGATATGTAGTATTCATTATTATTTGATTCTAAATATTTCCTAATTTACTTTATAGTTTTACATTTGATTTTGGGTTAATTTCCAAGGAAATGAGGTTCATAAATTTATCTTAATTGCTTTGTGAGTTGTGGTCAGAGAATATGTATGATGCCAGTTATTTTAATATGCTGTGATTTCCTTCAGGGCCAGGAATATAATCCTCCCTAGGATTTTGCTCCCCCGTCTTACCCACTTTCACCTCAGCCTTGTACAAGGCACTCTCCGTTTGATCCGTTCTCTCTTGTAGCAGTCTAGAAAACGCCCTCACGGTCAGCGTGGAAGCTCACCTCTCCTGCTTCCTCTTCCTCAGTTATCTGGCAGTGCAGCTTGTTCACTGGTGTCTTCACACAGTTGTATCATATATTTGGCTTGTGTCTAGAATCACGGCCGGGGGCGAGGGCAGGAGCCCACAGTTATGCTCATGGTAAGTTTGTAATGACATTTAGGGCCATGTGGTTACTGTTGTCTGCCGCCCCTGTAGTTTTCTTATGATAGTAATGGAAAGGAATGAGTACACGTAAGAACATGGCTCTGGTTGTCTTGTAGATTGATTTCCATGAATGACAACTAAGTCTTAACAGATCTGATTATGAATGAGGCATTTTGTTTTGAGTACGATGCATTGAAGCAAAAACTTACAATGGGTGGCATACTTGTCACATATAAAATTTTTTGCCATGATCATGGTTTGAGGTTTATTCATAAGAATTTATATTTCTGTTTGAAAATAAAAATATGCTCATTAATTTAAAAATAGATTTGATGTTCTGAATGCTGTAATTTGTTCTGGACTTACATATGTAAAGTTTTTGTAAAATCCTAACTTGAGCAAATCAGTAGTTAGTATTGAATATATATGGGTATCAGCAGTTGCCAGAATAATGCTACATGTTACAAGTTGGGTTCTTGGGAAACAGGTTTTGAGATGGAGATTAGCATCCTGGAAATTTATTAAGGAGTACCCTTTGGATCAACACCTGTGGAAGAGAAAGGAAGGAGGCAGGATTGAACAGAGGGAGAAGGTGGGCTGTGACACAGTGTGAATGAAGACCTCAGCCTTTACACTGCTGCGTCATTGGATGCAGGCTGCCCCAGGAAGAGGACAGACCTTGGGTGATGAATATTTCTTAAATTGAGATGATTCCAAGAGGAGCAACAGCTGAAGGCTGTCATCTCACAGCACTTCTAGCATGGTGAAAAAGTTCTTAATTCTTAAAGGGGAAAACACAGTATCTATTACACTGCCCAGAATTTCATTGGCTTATAACAACAAGCATTCATTTCTTGTGCATTCCTCTACAGATTGTCCAGGATTCTGCTAAACTACACTGGGCTGGTTTAGGTGTGAAGCTGTAGGTTGGGTCCAGATCTGGTCCATGTATGTCTCAGCCTCTATTGATAAAAGCCACTAGCACAAGTCCAAATGCATAAACTCATGTCAAGGCTCTGTTATGTCACACATCTTAGCATCCAGTTGGTCACACAAATCACGTGGCCAGACCCAATCTCAAGGGAATGGAAGAATACTCTCCTATGGAGGTTCAGGGGAGGGAGTGAATATTTACTGAACAATAGACCAATCTACAATAGTGTGATTCTGCTTAATGAACAAGAGATGAGAGTTCCACTGCCAAGATTTCATTGTCAGTCTTTTTCCTAAAATACTTCTGTTTGTCATCTCCATCTGTTTTAAATGAGATGAAATGTGACAACACCTTCACCACTATTTGGCAGAGAGAACAGCTTGTGCTGAGTTCTTATAATTTTTAAAATTTAGATTTGAGTGGATCTTGTCATGTATATCTGTATCTCTACTGAAAAGATGGTCTCTTTGCAAAACATTTATCTGAAGGGAGGACTTTCAGTTTTTAAGTTCTTTATCTTTTTTTTTTAGTTGAGGTATATATATATAATAAAGTATGTTAAGTACAGTTAGGTCATAGCTTATAAATTTTTATATACGTATGCATCCATATAACCACCACCTAGATCTAGATGAAGAGCAAATTTCCCTTATGCGCCTTTCCAGTCGGTGATTCCCCCCTCTCATGTAGTCATTATTCTGTTTCTCTCATCATCAGTTAATTTAGTTACTTTTCTCAAAATTCTTATAAATGGAATTAGAGTATGTTCTCTTGTATGTCTTACTCTTCAAGTTTTTATCTTAGTTGATAGACAATAAGCCAATTATGTCAAACTTCTATGTCTTTTCACTTTTTTTTATGAATCTTCACTGGGTAGTGTCTCTTCTGTTTTAGGAACTATATTCTGTGTATTATTTACTTAGCTTTTCAGGGTAGAATTAGACTAAACAAAAGTCCATTCAGAAGAAGCTTTTATGTCTGTCAGAAAGATGGAGTTAATATCAATTCCTGGCAAATAATAAAGTAGTCCTCTGGTTTCCTTTGTAAAGTTGGTCATTGATTTTAACAGAATTATCCTTAGGCATCCCACAGTACCTATGTCTGATGGGATGTTTATTTTTCTACGCATCCTGATCGTTACCACACTCCGGGCTGTGGTGTAAATGTGGGTTTTGGAGATTTCATAGCTGGCAGTCAGCTGTAAATTCGACCATTCTTTCCATTTGATTTGTGACACAACACAGGAACTTGTCTTCGAAAAGCAAATCCTTACTTCAGTGTTTCGTAACATAAACACTCTGCAGAACAGAACTTTTAAAACAACCTGATACTTTGAGGCTTTATTAGATAGTAGCCCATCATTGTTTTAAAAGTGCCTATAAAAAGGCATCTTCATTCATCTAATATGAACAAAAGACTGAAAATCCATTCACACTTTGAGTGTTATAATACTCAGCCGAGATAAATGCATTTAATTCTGTGACTTTTGTTTTCAGAGCCACCTGTTCATTACAGAAATTTCTTGTACCTCCTGAGGAATCTCAGCAGCACAGTTACTTCGTATAATTACTGATTTTGAATGCCATTTTTTAGTTAACTCCTGTAAATTTAGGAGTTTTAAAAATAATTGTTATGGAAATATATTATTAATTGAAGTGATCCCTAAGTTCCTGTGCTAAGTAGTTCATAGTTCTAGCATATGCTTTCATAGATCAGTTATCTAGAAACAGTAGTTTCAGGGATGGTGACAGAATGTATAATAGTGTGTATACAGTTAAACTGCTGAATCTGTTAAGTGAGAGGTTAGCTAGAGAAGTAGAGTTTAGTGGATTCTGAAGTTTGCAGAGCGCAAGTGAGGAATAAAGGTCAATTCTAACATTTTCGTAACCTCTGCTGCAGAAAGGTGAGAAGAAATTCACTTGAAAGTTGCACTTACTAGTCCATGATTGTGACACATACAGTGAAAGACTGCACATGGTCAGTGTGGTCTTAGCTGTGATTATAACTAGGAGATTGACAATGAATCCCTACTTTTGTTTTGTGGAATCCAATGACTTATTTTAAGTGAGATGTCAACCTTTGTTAAAGCAGTTGATTACTGTTCCTAAACATGTCCTGAATCCTGCCTTTGGCTTTGTCAACAAATTCATATTCTACACCCTTAATCAGCGTCTTAATGTATCACAGTGTAAATAACATTTTTTTAATGTGTACTTTAGCTAATATTTTTTTTCTCTGTAATAGATGTTAGTTGACATTTGAGCTTATTTTATGTTTTTGTACCAGGTTCGCTGTCCCCTACCAAATATTTTAGGGATCACTTACAAGCTAAATTTTTAAGAAATGTCGCATAGATATGACTCTAAATTTATGAAATTTTAAAATTATCAGAAGATACTTTGTGTAAAAGGTGTAAGACTTGGCTTTCATATACTAGAAAGTTTAAACAGAACCACTCACTTTTCAAGGATTCGATCACCAAACAAATCTGTGCCACACCAATATGCTTATCCAGACACTGACAGAGTGACCGTTCTGTTTTGCAGTTTTCCTGTTGTACATACAAATATGTCTGCATATTATGAATGAAACTTTTTACAGTAAGCTAGACCCAGGGTACTGTCAAAAAGAAGCAGTTATATTATCCTACTCCATCCTTCCTCCTTTCCAATTTCTCTTCAAATCACTGTCCTGTGAAATATATATGAAACCCACACCAGCCTAGCTAGCTGTTCCAAGCAAGCCTGGTTGTCTATTCTTGGTCTTAGAGGATCTCAATCAAGTTACTCTTTTTACAAGCATGTGTAATTTTGTTTGTTTTATTTTGTTTAACATGGATGTGTCGTTTTGACTCACCATCATTCTCCTTTTGTTTTCTATCGATCTCTTATTCTTAGTGTATTGTTCTCGTAACCTGAGAATATCTTTTCTTACTCTGTGGTACGTACCCTGTCTACAGATTTGTCCCTTGTCAAGGAAGGCTGTGCCAGCCTTGTACAATAACTGAAGTGACTTTGGCACTTTTAAACAAGAAGATGGTGAAATTTACTGGGTTCTCATTTTAATACCTGGAGGTCCTAGATCTTCGTGATTAGGTTGCTGTAACTAATGAATGCATTTTTTAAAATACGCACCTTTAAAGGTAGAAATCAACATTTTCATAAAAGCAATACATGATATTTTAAATAAGTAATCTGTTTAACTTTTTCCTAATTTTGTTACTTAAAAATAAATACTAAGTATATTGCTGTTAATTAAGTGTATCATGCATTTTACTATTTCTGTTCTCAAATAATCTAGCAAGGTGGCATTTCTGGCTGATCTTTTCCATTTTGTTTGTTTTCTTTAGTTTCATGCTATGGATACGTTGTATAGGCACAGCTATGATCTGAGCAGCGCAATTAGTGTCTTAGTACCACTTGGGGGACCCGTTTTATGCAGAGATGAAATGGAAGAATGGTCGGCCTCTGAAGCTAGTTTATTTGAAGAGGCACTGGAAAAATATGGCAAAGATTTCAACGACATACGCCAAGACTTTGTGAGTAGAAAATTGTGAATTAAATAAAATGGGATGGGAATATTTTCTGTTTTAAAAATTTGTAAACCTTAGACTATTCATCTGCCAAGCCTGTGACTTAGTAATTTTTATCTGCTCAACATAGAATGAAGGCCAGTCTTGTGGAGGGAGGAATTGTCATTTGTCCTGAGAAGTAATTGTGAGTAAGACCCAGGGTCAGGAGGCCCTGAGTTCTTGCTGTAAACTTTGGCAGTATGAATTCATCCTCTTCACCTCTCTCTGAGTTCCAAGTTTAAAATATGCACAGCTTTTCTAACCATTTGCACTAAATATTTCTTACCTCTGCTTTTTAAGCTTGTTGCTCTCCTTTAGACCCTTCAGCATTTTTCTAGTTGTCTTACTAATCATTGAGCCTGAATTTGATACAGACCTCTAACATAGAAACCACCTGTACCAAGCAGAGTAGGAGAATTTGCTTTATGGGTTTTGGATCTCTGACTCCTCTTAATGATACGCAGTATCTTGCATTTTAAATACCAGGTAATCTTGTCTACTTTTATGTACTTCCTTTGTCTTTGTATTTATGGAATTGAACTCAATTAAGCTCTCAATCTCTTTGAAATGGGGAAATTTCTATTTGAGAAGTTCATAAATAGCTTTCAATAGCAGTCATTCCTTTTTTTTTAAATTATGAAAATGCTTTTTAAATATGAAGTATTTAATGTAAGCTAATCTCCTGCCTTTTATGTTGCTGTACCTTCTTTGAATTATTTCTGAAGGAAAATTGTTACTTACCGATAGAGGTTGATCAATTAAATCTCAAACATGATAATTAAAGCTGTTAGTGTTACTAGCATTTGTTCTGGCAAAACTTCACTCGTTACCCAGATTGTTATATGTCATGGTTTCAGTTTATAGGATGTGCAGCTGAGAATTTAAAATGCATTCGTGGCATTTAGCTTCAGATGGTCAGAATAAGACACCAGTGCAATGTTATTAATATAATATAGTTACACCACTAAATAGAAACTGCAGAAACAAAACGCTGGAGTGAAACTGCTTTTCCCTGCACTGTCAGACATGTTTATTTTATGTCCTAGTAATCATTCTGAACTCAGTTCAACTCATCAGTTGTTTACTGAGTATCTGCAACATACCAGGCCCTCAGGTACACACTAGACATGCAACAGAAGCTGAATGTGGTCCTTCTTCAAGAAATGGTTTCATAGTCAAGATCAAGAGAGAGAAAGATATGCCCTCAAGTGAAATATAATGTAATGATTTCTATTGGTAGGAAGAACAAGTATTATGGGAGTAGTGGGAAGGGAACTGTTAGTTTTGCCTGTCAACTCAGGAGTGGATTCATGGAGTTAACTGGCATTTCAGCTGGACCTCTGGGGTGTAAAGGGAGAAAACAGCAGATTGACATCTATACACTAGCTGTGAAACTTGTAGACAGCACTCCTGGGCACTTAATACAGGACTAGGAAGTAACTCTGAAAGTAGCTTGGTGCAGTGTTCTTAGACATAGAGGTGGGCATTGATAGGAGATAAATAACTGTGTGAAAATTAATATAGCAGCAATAATGCCTTCATGGTCTAACAGAATTCTTGTAAATTTGTGGCATGATGTATATTAGTTTTCCTGAAGTGGTTAAAATGCTTGTCAGTGAGCTAATCCACATTAGATTTGTTGTATTTTGGAGACTGGAATTGGCCACCAGTGTCAAAAACCTTAAAGAAGGTAGAACATCACGAGCCTGGCTGTTCAAAGAGTTTGTGTTTTGTGTAGTTTGTGGTGTTTTTAAACTTATTATCTCTCCCCTCCACCACCCTGTACTTGTAAAGTAATACTAAAATCTACAGACCATGTATGACAAGCCAACGGCTAATACCATACTCACTGGTGAAAAGCAGGTATATGAAAAAGTGTTCAGCATCACTAGTCATCAGGGAAATACAAATCAAAACCACAGTGTGATATTGTCTCATACCTGTTGGCTTGACTATTATTTTAAAATAGAGAGAGAGAGAGATAACATGTTGGTGAGGATATAGAGAAGAATTGGCATTAATTCTTTAAATGTTTGGTGAAGCCATCTAGTCCTGAGCTTTTCTTGGTTGGAAGGTTTTTGATTCAGTCTCCTGACTAGTTATAGGTCATTCACATTTTCTGTTTCTCCAGGATTCAGGTTGTATGTTTCTAGGAATTTATCCATTTTTTCCCTAGATTATCCAATTTGTTTATGTGTAATTGTTCATAGCAGTCTTTTATGATCCTTTATATTTCTGTGGTCTCATTTGTAACGTCTCCTCTTTCACTTCTTATTTTATTTTGGTCTTCTCTCTTCTTAGTTTAGCTAATGGTTTGTCAATTTTGTTTCTCTTTTCAAAAAATCAACTCTTAGTTCATAGATCTTTTCTATTGGTTTTCTCGTTTCTACTTCTTTATTTCTTCTTTGATCTTTATTGTTTCCTTCCTTCTGCTAATTGGAATCACTCTTTTCATTTTTCCCTCCTCTGACTGGGTAATTTCTAATGACCTGTCTTTGAGTTCACAGATATTTCTGCTTGATCAAGTCTGTTGTTGATGTCCTGTATTGTATTTTTCATTAGATTCATTATATCCTTCAGCTTTAGAGTTTGGGTTTTTTAAAAATGATTTCTCTGTCTGTTGAACTTGTTTGTATGCTGTTTTTCTGATTTTGTTGACTTCTCTATCCATATTTTCTTGCAGCTCACTCAGCTTTCTTAAAATAATTCTTCTGAATTCTTTGTGAGGCAAATCCTAGATCTCTATTTCTTTAGGATCAGTTCCTGGAAAGTTACTATGTTCCTGTGAGGGTGTCATGTTTTCTTAATTTTTCATGTTTCTCATAGCCTTTTGTTAATTCTGTCCATTTGATTGAGCAGTCATCTGCAGGTAGGTGCAAGGGTACCAGGTGAGTGAGGTGTGATGATGGTTCTAGCCCCTAGGGAGACCCATTGGCATAGCGCACATTCAGCTTTATCAGCTGAGGTCAGTGTTGGTAAAGATTGCAGGGGTCCTCAGCAACCAAGGCTGTGTGTGTCTACAGTAGCACTGAGGGCTGTTGGGGTCTTCAGTGGCAAAGGTTGCTGCAGACCTCCTGAACTCCCACAAGGTATGTCTTGGGCAAAAGGATCCCTCTTGGTGCTGGATGTGGCTTTGGAGTGCCCTCATGGTAGCAAGTAGTGCCTGAGATGTGAACATGCTCGGATGTGTCCCAGAGCCAGGAGTGGAATATGTGTGCTCACAGGCCTGGAGCTTAGTTTGCTGGCTAGCCCACAGTGTCAGTGGCTCTGGTTCCTGCGATGTGAGCACACGTGCAGCTCTGGGGTCTGGAGTGTGCATGGAGTGGGAGCTGAGGGCTGGCAGCCCTGTCCTGGGATGCGGACACAGCAGCATCTCCCTCTCCAGGAGGCCAGTAGCAGCAGTGGCTCTGAATTACCTCGGGGGCAGAAGCTGCCAGTTCCCTCTGCAGAGCAGGCTGCTGAGATCCACGCCACAGAGTCCCCTGCTGTGAGAATTCTGTAAATATGATAGCATATTTTTCTCACATTCATATTTTATGCTTATTATCACTGTTTAAATTCTCCTTCTATTTTGCCTTTTCAACTAGAGCCTTTGTTATATTATATTAATATAACATTGTGTTAATATAGTCTGTAGCTGGCCAGATTTGGATTTCCTTGTTGTTCTGGTTACCTTCAATACACCACTGTGTTGGAAGGCCTACTATTTCATGTACTCCTACATCTTTGAACCTCACAGGGCCCCAGAAGCTTAACTGAGTTTCTCCATTCTTGCCAGATATGCCCCTCACCTAGCAGAAAACTCACCCGACCTGGTTACTTCATCTAGCACCCTACCCAGTCTTCAACCTAATGAGTTTCACTACCCTGCCAGCATGCAGAGTTATTGAAACAAGCCAATCACATCCTGCTGTGGGGACTTTCTTCCAGAATGAGGGCACAGCTCTCCTCGTTACACAAAGCCTCACTTCCACTGCTCCTGCCGGCTCACTTTTCTCAAGTGCAATTCCCGTGCAGCCTTACATGGTGTGCAGTGTCCTCTTCTCCAGGACTGCAAGTATATGTGACTAATAAGCTGCTGTCAGCCTCATCTGTTTTGTCTCCAGTGTCGTATGTTGTATGTCTAGCCATCCTGCACTGTTTTGAAGGGCGGGTCCTTCCCTCACTGAAGGGGTGAACAGACTTCTAAGTCTATGCTTAATGTGGGACTCGGATAGCAGAGGGGTTTTTCAGTGTTCCCCTACCAGCCTCAGCAGGCCTTGCACTACAGAGCCTCTCCCCACATTTTTGCCCTTCCCCTAGTGGTAGAATGGTGTTGCAGGTTCATGGTGTGAGGGCACAGGGGGTTTCTTAGTTGTGCTGTTTTAGCCCAGTCTTGGGCAGGCTTTGTGTGCCTGAGTCTCAGGGCTGGAGCTCCCACAGCATTTCTGCTCTTCCTCCAGCTCTCTTGTGGCAGCCAGTCTCTGTCTTGTGTAGCCTTTTATTCGCAGGGGTTCTTGGATGTGAGCTAATTTCCAGTCCCCCTCCATTGACCACTGCACTTTGCCTGGGACTTGGGGTGAGATGGTTTCTAGTCCCTTTCAGATGGCAGACACTTTTGCTTCATATGAAAGGAGGATGTAAGAGAAGGATCTGGGAAGCAAGGGGTTTTCGGCCTGGTCCCCCTGTGGTAGCTGATCACCATTGTGCACACCCACATCACCACCAGTGGGCACTTTCTTAGTTCTCTTGCCCTGTCCAAGTTCTTCCTGCTGGACACCTGATGGAGGAAAGGGAGTGTGGCAGTTTCCTTGTGCACTGCTTTATATAGCTTCATCTGACAGAGTATAATAAGTTTTGTTTTCATTCCTTCAGAGTATTTTTTTCATTTTTCCCTATGATTTCTTTTTTGACCCATGGATTATTTAGAAGTAAGTTTCCCATATTTGTGGGTTTCCCCCATATATTTTTCTGTTATGACTTCCAGG